CAGCCGCCGCTCCTCGCCTGTCTCGATGTTGGCCACCCACAGGTCATTGCTGTTGATGAAGGAGAAGAAGGCGGGGTCGGCAGGGCAGATCTTGGGGTCCATCCGGGGCCCAGTGCACTGGGTCTTGATTTCCAGGGGCTTCATGGGAGACACCTGGGGACACAGAGGCCTGGCTCAGGGGGACAGGAGGCTGCCCAGCCCCCCACCCCACCCGCGGCCAGTGACCAGGGCTCACCATGAAGCCATTCTTGCCCCCGTCCCGACAGTGGAAAAGGCTGTTGCTGGCCTGGAAGAGGAAGAGGCCGCTCTCACTGTGGAAGTCGTAGGAGGTGATGCCGAAGACCCCCAAGCGCTTCCGCTCCCGAAGGAGCTCCTCCTCCCGAGAGTAGACCCCATGGTGGGGAGTGGCCTGGGGACACAGAGAACGGTGCCACGTCAGCGGCGCAGCCAGGGGCCCCAGCACCCTGGCCGTGGATCCTCTGGTCTGGGCATTCCTGAGAGGAGTCTGCCGATCTGCCTGCGGTCCAGGCCAGGGAGAACTCTCTGCCGAGCAGAGCTGTTCAGGGCAGCTCCCAGGGGGCCCGAGCGGGCCCGAGCCTGGAGCCCGTGATGGTGCTCAGCAGGCTTGGGGTAACGGGGCAGGCTGACCGGTTCTGGGCTCACTGGAGACTTCCTCCTCTCCTGGCCCATCTCTGGGCTTTCTCGACCCACGTTTGTCCACAGAGCCTCTCCAAGACAGACAGAGCTCTCCCCTACCCACCGGCACGGAGGGCCACCCAAGGGGTGCTATCTCCTGGTCCCCAGCGCCAATCCCTCCTGCCTGGATCACCATCCTGTCCAGCCAGAACTTTCGGTGAACCCACCCACCGCCACCCGTTCCTGCTCTCTGCTTAGGGGGAGCGGGGCAAATTCAGGACCACCTGACCACCCACCCACCTAACCCGGGGGGCGTCTAAGCAGGTAGACTACCGTGGACACCACGCAGCGTCCCTGAGGAGAATTCTGAGTAACACGTGGAGATGCAAGGAACGTTAACAGCCAGAAACGCATTTTTGAAAAGCAGAACCTGAAGCACAACGAACCCCATGCTTGGTCGGCTTGGGGCCTACCAGGGACGGCAGAAATGAGAGCTGTCATATCAGCGCAGAGAAATCCAGAATGTGCCCCCACCCCGTACTGTCACACTGCTTTTACAACCAGAAAGAAGTCAACCTCAGCGGACGCAAAGGCAGCCTCGTCCCTCCCCAGCCAAGGCGAGCTGACTTTGGATGATGTTAATTATTAGCCCAGTCCCCATCAAAGGGCCTTGGCAGGATTGGTTCCAAGTCTTTGGTGAGGCATCGAAAAGGAAGAGATGCTTCTGATAAGAGCTCTTATCAGAGCACACACTCTGGGGCTTGAGAAGAGTGGGGAGGAGGGGAGGGAGGCCCACACGCCTCTCCACAGGCTCTGCACTAGCTGCCAGGCTGGGGCCGCTTGGGGGCTGAGGGCCCAGGGAAATGCGTGGGGCCTCCCTTGCCCATGGGTGAGGCCCAGGGCGGCTCCTGCCAGAGCCCTGCACCGTGCAGCTCACCTGGAAGTGATCCAGCATCTGCTTCCAGGACAGGAGCAGCAGGGCCTCTTTCCGGACCTTCCTGGGAATCTCCGAGTAGAGGAGGGAGTTCTCGCGGCTGCCATAGGGCATCCCTTGGGGACAAGAGAGAAAAACCAGAATGGAGGACCTTGCCCAGGACAGGGAGAGGGTCTTGGGCCAGGACCCTGGCTCCCCATGGCTGGCCCCAGCTGGTTCCGCTTCAACCTCCTCCTCCCAGTGTGTTCTGGCGGCACACCCCTCCCCACGGACGCTCCGACCCTGGGTGCAAGTACGTTAGCAACAGTAATGGGGTCTTCTACCTCTGAGATGTCTGCACGAGTACCCTGTCCAAAGTTACTGAAGGAATAGAACGCAAGAGAACAAAAGGGAGGCCAGTGAAACCTGCCTCTCAACAGGCTACGCTCTGGTCTGTTAGAGGCTTTTGCTGGGGCCAAGAACTAACACAGGGTTAGAGTAAGAGCAAACGTACGCAAGGGAGCTGGGAAACGTGCATGTGACCAGCACTCTCCCCTCGGCACTACGGACGTGGGGCTGGGGCGCTCTCTGGGGGGGCGCTGAGTGGCCCCTCCAGCCCCCATGCGCTCGATGTCACCTCAGTGGTGACAACCACAGATGTCCCCAGACATCACCCACTGACCTAACCTAACCTCGTACAGGAGGACAGGAGCGGCCTAGCGAGGATGCTGTGTGAATGCAGCAGCAGGAAACAATGCCCGTCACACGGTGCCTGAGACGGGTCACTCGGAGAGACGTGGGCCTATTTCGGCAGTAAGTCGCTGTGTCTCACGTTCTTCCCTCTCTCAGGTGTGTCTTATTGTCAAAGGTGCTGTCATATGCTTAGTGGCAAATAAAAAGACGCCTATTTCCCCGCTGGTAGTGTCTTTGACTCGACGGATGACGGCAGGGCTGTGGTTCACGGGCGAACGACGGACTGCAGGAAGCCCAAGCCCCCTCGGTCCTGAGTTTCTCCAGGAGGAAGACTCCATGTGATGCCGGCCTCTCTTCAGGACCGCCTCCCCCATGCTCTCGCGCTTATGAGGCGGGTACGGGAGGCCCCACGCTCGGCACCTCCAGGGCTAGAGCCCGACAGCTAACGTCTGCTCCCTTTACAGTTAGCTCAACAGGCAGCTTCTCCACACGGCAACCCACGTGGTGTTTCCACTTATGATCCAACTGGCATGTGAAGTATAATTAGTAAAAGAATGTATTTAAGGGAAAACACGAGGTTAATAAGATTTCCTTTGGAAACTGATTTAGGGAAAACGCAGAGGTCACGTAGATGTGCAGGTGGGCAACGATCACGATCCCACGTCTAGGGACCCTGGATGCTGTGCGGTCCCGCTCCCTCATCCCCAGCTAGAGGCGCAGGCGCATGACGCTACCTGTCCGGGCCGCCCACGGGGCGTCCTTCCTTCTCGAGGTCACACGACTACTGGGGACAAGAATCCTGCGGTGCATGATCCCATTTGTGTGCACTGTCCAGAACAGGCAACTCCAGGGCGGCAGGATGTAGACTCATGATTGCCAGGAGCTGGGGGCACGGGGAGGGGAGTGATGCCTAATGGGCCCCGAGTTTCTTTCGGGAGTGATGGAATGTTCTGGAATTAGACACTGGTGACAGTACGAGAAGCCACTGAGTAGTGGGCTTCAGGTGCTGGGAATTAGACCTCGTGAAAGAGAATGGTCACGGAGCAGCGTGCAGGGCTGGGAGGCAGCAGCCGGAGCTCTGGACGGCCCCTGTCCTCGGGGCTCTGAGGGAGAGCCAGGGCTTTCCAAACAGGAAGTCAACAGTGCGGCCTTGCCAAGGACATCGGAGCCACCTCCTCTACCCAGCGGCTTAATAAGCGATGCCACCAAATGGCACAAGCCAGCACATTCCCTGTGTTGTCACGGTGACACTGGGTGTCCAAGCCTAGGGTCTGACTTCTGCTGTCCCTGCCCCTCCCCTGCCTTCCCTGCCCAGCTCCGCCCCAGCTCCCAACATCCACGAGGGTGGCAGGTGGCCCAGATCTGCACAAGCACCATTTCCGTCACCGTGCACTGTGGCCTCGGCAACCAGCCTGATGGACACATGACTCCCGCTGGGCCCGGGCTCTCCTTTAGGTCACGAGGACACAAGAGGCCTCTCTTCCTTCTCAGGGACTCCCCGAGTTGTCCCACAGTCTTTTGTCCTACACGAGACACCCGTTTGCAGGGGGACCAGCCGACCCCGTGGAGCGGGGGAGCTGCCACCATCCCATCTTCCTGGCAACGAAGTCCTTCTCTGTTCATCTGTCCTGTGCACCAGACGTCATCGTGCACATCTGGAAGAGCCTTCCCTGAGCCTGGGGTGATTGGCTCCACATGCACACGGTGGCAAGCCTGGTGCCCACCGAGAAGGCAGGGGCTCCCAGGGGAAGCACGGGGGCAGGCTGCACGCTGGGCCTGGCCCGTGGAGGCCCTTCCTGTCCCGACCATAAACACCTGGTGGCTGCTAGCATTCCCTTGGGGGCTGCGCCAGCATAATGACCACCGTAAATACATGGGGGCTCCAGGGAGGCTGGCCCCCAGAACTCAGACGAGAGATGGAGGCCAAGGGTACCCTGCAGGTACTGAGGGACACGGAAGGATCAGCTCAAGGGTGAGCAATGTCACCCCAAAAGAGGCAGGATGGCTCTGAGATGCCCTAGGAAGGTTCTGGGGTCTCTGCCAAGTCCACAGCCCTTGTCTAGAGCTGCCCCCTACCCACTGTGGTAGGCCTCCTGCAGTCTGCAGGGACCCACTCACCCCAACCCCAGACACACGCACAGGCTGCAGACAAACAGACATCTGATCTACGTTGAACCCGTCTGGTTCCCTCTCCCAGAAGTTTGGAGAGAGCTCATCCATTTCTGCTGGTGGCCAGAACCCGAGACGGGTAACCCTGGGAGTGTGGCAGCGGGAGGCAGGAGGGCAGTGAGGGGGCGATGTACAGAGAGGAGCACGTGCCGAGCAGACGCCCGGGCCCCACGCAGCTCCAGGTTCTCAGGGCCATGACATGAGGCACGGGGTCGGGGGGCTCCCTGACACAACCCTGTGTCCTTCCCATGAGGTGCCCCTGGGGGCTCAAACTAGCTCAGAGGGTTTCTGTCCCTTTCAGCAGCTCTGTGGTTGGCTAAACAATGGCCCCCAGATGCTCAGGTCCTAATCTCAGAGCCTGTGACTGTGATACCTTCTGCAGCAAGAGGGACTTTGCAGATGGGATGAAGTTCAGGCTCCGGAGCTGGGGAGAGTAGCCCGGATTACCCAGCTGGGCCCAGTGGAATGCGTCCCTGTAAGGGAGGCGGGAGAGTTTTCAGACACCCGGCGGCCAAGACAGCAGCAATAAGCCGCAAGCCAAGGAGCACCGGGAGCCTCCAGAACTCAGAAGAGGCAAGGAACCCATTCGCCCCTAGAGCCTCTGCAGGGAGCACGAGGTGGCCTTGCTGACACCTTGATTTCGGCCCAGAGACACGGATTTTGGACTCCAGGTCTCCAGAACTGTGACAGGCTACATTTCTGTTGTTTTAAGCCACCGAAGTTGGTGGTGATTTGTGACAGCAGGAGCCCCGGGAAACTCTTCCAAGTACCCTGCCCGGGACGCCAGCCTGAGCTGGAGTTGGTGAGGGTGGAACACTGTGCTGGGGGGTCCCAGGATCGTGGGGAAGACAGAAGCAGCAGCCACCACAGCCCACGAGTCCTGGCCGAGTGTGACCCCAGGAGCCACGCCCCCTCAGGTGAATGACACGTGAAGCCCACCCCTGCCCACCGCCCCCCGGCCAGAGCTGGCAAACCCTTTCCCAGAACGTGCGTATTGTCGGCTTTAGGGGCCATACGGCCTCGGGTGCCGCGGCGCCCGGAAGCAGCCCTAGATGGTACGATGGCGCAGAAATGAACGGGAGTGCCTGGGCGCCGGTGAAACTGCATGTACAAAGCGGGCGGCCGCCGCTCACTGAGCCCTGACCTAGACCCCTCCTCTTCTAACTCCGCGCCCGCCAGACCACCGTGTGGCCTCCACGTGCCTCTCTGCGGAGAGGGGCTGTGTCAACTCCGGAAAGGGGAGAGCCACGCGGCACCCACGGCGGTCGCTGCTGGCGCCCTCGGCCGGGGTCAGCCCTGTGCAGAGGACAACCCGCATTCACGGGTGTCACCACCCCTCACCCCAACCCTGACGGAGGGCCCAGCCGGTGCCGGCATCGTCCCCGGAGCTGCGGGTCCGCAGAGGCCGGTCGGGCCCTCGATGTCGAGTGGAGAGCCGAGACTGCAGACCTGCCCCCAGTCACCAGTCATGTGTCGTGCCGCTTCCAACGGAACGTGCTCAGCACGGTGTCCGCGGGCCCTGGCAGACCTTCGGGCGAAGCAAGGCAACGTTCACTTGCTCCATAGATACTCGCTGTCCACCTCCCGGCAGCCAGGCCCGCAGGAGGCGTCACTGATGCCGTGAAGCTCTCACCTGGCCGGTGGGGAGCATACACCTGCCAACGACCGCAGGTGGTGTACAAAGGGCTGCTGACAGGGCACACGCCTAGAAGGAACTCACTAGCGGTTCACGTGCTTATCCAGGTATTTCGGGCGGGATGGCAAGCCCATGGCCGCCACCCTCTGGTATTAGCTCGCGGCACGCACGGTACACAGTCGTGGCCTCGAGCCTCAGGGTCCGGGCTTGCCGGCGTCTCCCACTGCTAGGAGTCATTCACCGGCCCGGCCCAGGAGGCTGGGAAATGACTCAGGGGGACAGGTCCAGCCACCCGGGACTGGAGACAACCTCAGGGGCTCAGAGCCACGTTCAAGGCCCAACCTCAGTACTGCTGCAACAGCGGACCACCCTCTGCTCCGCTCACCTACACACCTGACCCCCCGGGCACCTTGTGCCAGACCTTCACTGTAAAGAGATGTCACCGTGGGTGGCGTGGCCTCGTGGGACATTTTGCCCAGGGCCAGGCCCATCTTTTTGGACCTTCTAATAGGACCAGCTGGCTTCTGGAGACAAGGGAACTTGGTAACAGTGTCCCAGAAACCCCGCCACGGTCAAGGGGGCCTGTGGGGTCTGAGGGCAGCCGGAGGGCTTACCTAGGTAGTAGAGGCGGTGGGAGTGGGGGCTCGACTCGTCCGTCTTCTGCACGAACTGGAAGTCGTGTGGAGCCTTGTTGACGATCAGGCCCGAGTTCTTGCGGCTGCTGTGGATGATGTTCCGGAGCCCGTCCCACGAGTGCTTCTGCACCTGGAAGCGGGATGCCGGGTCCTCCATCTCGACCACGTCACCCCGGTCAGACACTGCTGCCCCGGTGGCCATCCTCTCTGTCCCCTCAGAATTCAGTGAGAAGCTATGAGCAGGAGGGGACAGGGTGGGAAGACAATGATACCCAAGTTTCACTTACAAGTTGCCCCCTTGTCAGACACTCCCAACCCCACTGACAAGCCCCAACCCCGTGCCACCTTCCCAGTCCCCCTAAATATGTCCCAAATTATTCTCTTTCCAACAACCACAAACAGTTCTGGATCCAAGCCACTGCCACCTCTGATCGCAACAGACCCCATACATCCATTGCAAATCTGTTCCCGTTGCTTAAAGCTCTTTCTTGGTTTCCCACAGCCCCTGGGGTAAAAACCAGTTCTTGTCACAGCCTTCAAGGCTCTCTGTCCTCTGACCCCTGCCAGCCTCTCAAACCTCAACCCCCCTTTATCAGTCCTCCAGCCAAAATGGCCTTCTCTCCACTCCCCAAACAGGCCAGACTCCTTTCTACCCCAGGGCCTTTGCATTTGCTTCTTTTTCTGCCTGAAACTTTTCCCCTCTCTTTGCTTGGCTAACTTCTAATCAGATCTCAGTGTAAGTATCTGGCGGGTCCTCAGAAACTTTCGATGACCATCTATACCAAAGCCGGTCTCTCCAATAGTCTTCCACACGCTCCCCCGCCCCCTTGCCCCTGCCCTCACAGCATTTGTCACAATGGTTGGTTGTTGATCTCCTAACCCCTTCACAGCAGTGTCCCCAAAACCTCATGAGGTCCCTGGCTCCCAGCAGGCATTCTACAGAGGGCCGTGGAACGACTATCTTGCATTAAGTCCGCTGGGAGACACTCACTCACGTGCAAAGAACTGAGCATAAAGAATTAACCGGTAAAGCCCATCACCCGTGCCCTCCAGCTAGCTGGGGATCCGGCACGGCAAACTCTCGTGCCTCGCCAGAGGGGCTCAGAGAAACAGGCAGCTATGTGCAGGCAATGTGAGAACCCCAGATGAGCGGATGGATGCCCCTCAAGATAGCCCCCTCTCCTCTCTCCTCTACTTCCCCGAGTAGCTGTGGCCAAGGCACCCTCCCTCCCTTCTCCCACCCTTGCTGTTGAGCACACTTCTTGACCGGACTGGACTAGCCAGGCAAATATTTGTCTTAGGGAAATCTAAACACAGCCACAGTGACCTGGTTCTGGAAGAGCCGGGGTCTCTAGTAAGGCCAGCCAAAGTGAGCAGGGCAGCCTCCCTTTCCTCCGTGGGCATCGAATGGACTAAGGCCTTGCTGGACTAAGGCACTCCTCGTGCTCCGGGATTAGCAGCTTTGCTTTGCGGGCGGAGTTTGGGGTTCACTGGTCAGAAGTGGGAATTGCTACTGCTAGACCCACGGGCAGGGACAGCACAGGCCAAGGCTTTAGAGAAGCAGCAGGCAGAGCTGTGCCCGCCCTTCACACAGGTGCCCTCCGATTCCCAGAAGGCCTTGCCCCCTGCCAGTAAGAGAGTCTGCCACCCCCCCACTGCCCCCACCGGCCCAGAGTCTCCATCACAGGAGAAAGACACCTGCAGGCTGCTTCAAGAGGCAACGGGAGAGAGACACTTCTGAGCACGGCCTCTGTGGGCCAATTTCAGAGTCCCCTTTCCAACATGACCCTGGATCAGATGAGAGGCAGAAATGCCTCCCTTGCTCAGTCCTATGTGACCCAGCCAGGGCTGGGGCGGGGGGGGGCGGTGAGGCGGGGGGAGCACAGCAAGCCAGGGCTTCTTGCCCCCCAGCCACAAAAAGAACACTCAGTCCAGTACTTCCTACGGTGGCTTTGAAGAGGCAGATCACAAGCCAACAGAGCATTCAGGGCCCTCGGCTCAAATAAGCTGAGCCAGAGAAGACAGGAGACAGCCCGAGGGTCACACACAGCGCATCCTGGCCCGCGGCAGAGCTGTGGTTTACCTCAGGGCAGTGCGGGGCACAGGCAATGCTAGGCAAGGGCCGGGGCCAGGACGCCCTGAGTGCTCCAGAACCCACATGGCCCCGAGCACTACTGGCAACAAGCCCAGAAAACCAGGCCAGGGGACTCCTCTAACCGGCCCAGACCCCCCCAACCCCCCTGAAACTGCTGCCACAATTCAAGCCTTGCTCACAGCAGAAAAACAGATCACGACCTCCAGGGCTCCCAAAGGGGACCCCATAAGCTAAGAGCCGGGCAGAAGCACTCACAAAATCACGGGGCTAATTTCCAAGCAAAGAACAATAAAAAAGATCTTGCCTCCGATCCCTGCAGAGAGCCCAAGGAGCAAAAATATGGTCCAGGAGATGAGAAATGAAATGAAACATCGGGAGAAACTTCTAGGAATCTTCTAGATGAGGCCAGGTGGCCTGAGCTCCCAGGCAGGCCAAGGCTTGGTGCTACGCCCTGGTCCTCCACTCACCTCTCCTCCCCAGAAGCGGAGAGAGACCGCAGACGAGGTGGGGGACGAGAAAGAGGTTACGTAAATGCCGCCCTTCCCATTCTCTGCCAGCTGCGCTGGGCCTCTCCACTTAAGAGTTTACACAGCTGGGGAAATGAAAGTGGATTCCAAGCCACGTAGGCCAGGTCCACCTCCAGTTTCCTTCTGCCTGTCAGCAGGACACCTCGCAGACCATGAGGCCACCAGCACACAGCCCGGGAGCTCCGGTGCAGTCACGGCCAAGGCCCCAGGGGAGGTCTGTGATCTGCAAGCTGGTGCTCCAAGAGCCAGGACCGCTACCCTACCCCCGCCAACCCCCTGCCCCGGCCCAGCCATCCACCAGAGACCCAAGCAGGGCCTGTGACGAGGGAAGCAGACAGAAAGCAAGAAGGAACTGCAGATTCTCAGTGCTGGCTGCAGGTCTGGGAGCGTTCGAACGACCACAGAGTGATGAGGCAGGAAGGAAGGCAGGCGCTAAGGAGGTGAGGGGTGGGGGCCTACCAAGCTCCAGGGAGGAAATGCCTGAGTAGCCCTGGGGACACACGCTGAGTCCCCACAGGTGGGGGTTCCCTGGAAACAGCAGGCCGTCCTCCGCCCTACAAGGGCTGCCCCTGGCACGTCGGCCTTCCGCGGTCACAACCAGTCTTACACAGACTCAGCATGCAGCCCAGCCTGTGCCCGCCAGGGACCCGATGCACTTGAGAAGGGGGACTTGGGTCTCCATCAGTGACCTCCTAACGTGTCTACCCACCGGAAATGGAGCCTGAGTCTGGGGAATGATTCATGTGCTCAGCATCACACCTGTCTTCCAGAACCTCCTGAATTCCCTTCCTGCCTGATGGCTTGTACTTGCTAACTAGATCACGACCTCCAGGGAGCCCTGGAGGTCGTGATCTGTTTTTCTGCTGTGAGCAAGGCTTGAATTGTGGCAAATGAACCCAGGAGGGATAGAAACTGACAGTGAGGGAGGTCCACTCGGCAGAGGACTTGCTATGGTCTTCATCTCATGCAAGGCCCCAGACACGGGATTCACCGAGTGCCCAGGCCTCATGTGTATAATTATGATTACTTTTCACTGCAACCTCGACCGCTGGGCTCAGGGGTCAGCCACATTTGGGAGGCTGAAAAGTAGGCTCAGGTCAAATGACCTACCCAACGCCACCCCCACAAGGAAGCAGAGGGGAGCCCACGTCTGTTGGACCCAAAACCCACATCCTCACCACCCGGCCAGTGGTTCTCAGCTGGGGCTCATCCTGCCTGAGGGGGCACCGGGCAATGTCTGGGGTGTTGCTAACATTGAGGGATTGGGGCCAGGAGTGCCACTCAATCCCCTACAGAGCCCAGGAGGGCCCCCACAGAGAATGACTTGGCCCCATGTCAGTAATGACCAGGCTGAGAAACCCTGCACTAGCCTACACAGCCTCCTCATTCAAAATAGCCAGTCTTGGGGAAATGCAGAAAGGTAGGGGGTGGCAGGTGGTGGCAGGTATCTTCCCAGACCTATGACATTGTCGGAAATTCGGGAACCTCTGCCACGTCCCCACAGATCAGGGCTCCCGAGACCACACCCCGTACCTTCTCCAACCTTCTGTGTTCTCGTGGTCCAGGCGGAGCTTCTTAACCTTCCGCATTAACCACTCGGCTGACCTCAGGAGGGTTGGGGAGCCTGTGAGCAAAGAGACCCCAGGCTGCAACTCCCAGCAGTCTGGGAGTGCCCGCTCTCAGCCATCCTCCCCTTCCCATTTCTCCAGGGACACCCAATACCAATGGCGTTCTGATGAGGCCCTGCCCGGAAATTCGAGAGGGCGCCTGGCATTTGCCAGAAACCAGCATCTTTTTTGTCATGCAGGTGCAGTCCTAAAGCGAGAAGTCCCCGAGAAGAGAGGAGTTTCAAATGATGCCAAGGACGCCATCCTTGGTGCTCACCAGAAACAGAATAATCCCTAGTTCCCCACTATGGCCACCCTCTGATGGCCTTCCTGACCTCATCTTCTCCCCTTGCCCTTGACCATGATCTCCAGCCACGCTGGCCTTACTCTCCCCTACACACACCGACTCTTTCTCACCTCAGAGCCTTTGCTCTCGCCAGCCCTGCTGCCTAGGACGCCCTCCCCTGCTTTCTGTCTGACCCATCCCCTCTTCTACTCCGCGTCCTAGTCTCACCTCTTCAGAGGTCTTTCCTGGCACCCAATCCAAAGTCGCTGCTTTGTCACCCCCACGCAACACCTGGTCCTTCTGTAGAGCACTGAGTCTGGAATAGTGGTTCTCAAGGGGGATGACTCTGCCCTCCCACCCCTACCCTGGGGATGTCTGGGGACATCTGCGGTTGTCTCAACTGCAGGTGCTCCTGGCATTGAGTGTGCCGAGGAGGAGGAACTCTGCATTCTTTATTTGGGGGAAAAACTGAGTAAGATCCTTAGGCCGTCACTAGGCACTAGAATAAATCTCTGATGGGTCAGATGGTATAACCCCAGCGTCTGTGAGTCACCTCCTCTCTCCCTGCCACTTAATTCACATATTTAAATGGTGCAACATCCTAGGACCTCAGTAAGTCAAATGATTATGGAATATAGAGTCCACTGGGGGTCAACTGATTCCCCTAACCCAGTGGGTCTCAACGAGGGCCAATTCTGCTCCCAGGAGCCATTTCTGGCTGTCACGACTGAGAGGCATGGTACTGGCTTGCAGACCAGGGAGGCTGCTACAGTGCCCAGGATGCTCACCTCCACGCCCCACTGCAAAGAATGATCTGGGTGCTGAGGCTGAGCACCCCGGCTCTGGGTGAGCGAGCACTCTTCACTGGGATGTCAGCTCCAGGGGGGCAGGCCTACATCTGTCCTGTTCCTTCTGTATCTCCAGAGCCCAGAAACATGCCTGGCACACACGAAGCATTTTTGGTCAAATTAACGAGTCCCTGTCCTCCCCTGAATGCTGTCTAAAGTCAAAGGGAGCCCTGGTTTGGTCAGCAACCAAACCCCTTCTTGAGGAGGAACCAGGCCCCTGGTGGGCAGGTGCCCAGATGCTTCAAGAAGAAAGCAGCGCGTGGCCCTAGGACTGAGATTGTAGGGGAGAGATGAAGCCAAATGTCACCATAAGCAGCACTGGTCTCACTCTCAGTCCTGTGCTGAAAAGAGGGGTCGCTGTTGCCAGAGAGATATGGGTTCAAAGCCCAGCTCTACAACTTCTGGTCTCTGTGACCTTGAGAAGCCACTTAACCTCTCAGTTAAGTTAAATTAAGTTAAGTTTAATCTCTCAATTAAATTGTGCCTCAGTTTCCCCAGCTACTTAAGACAGTACCTACATCAAGGGCTGCTGTCAGAATTAAGTGCTCAAGTAAAATCCTAGATATGGCAGAACCTACGTGACAGCTAACACTGTCAACTAAACAAGTCACTGAAAATCCCGCCACGGAGAGAACTGGACCAAAGCTCCTTTTAGAGCCAGGATCCCCACCAAATGCTGACTGAGCACCAGGCACCGTGTTAGGTGAGGGGGGGATGCAGCCACACCTCCGCCAGATCCAGCTACAGTCAGCGTTCCCCCTCCACAATCTTCCAGGGGGTTCTTACTGGGGCTACTGGAGGGCGATGCTGGATGGAAATAAAAGTCTCCAGCTAAGGCACACAAAGCCACAGCCACTGGCCTGGGTCCCAGCCAACCGCCCAGGGAGGGCAATGACCTCAGGGTTGTAGAAAACCACTTCCTGCAGACTTCTGAATCCTGGAGCATGCAAATGAATCCCACCAGCCCACACGCCAGCCATCATGGTCACCCCACCCCGGCACAACTGACCTTCTAGAGGGTCCAGAAAGCCTCCATTCCAGCTGCAGGCGGCGTGGGACACAGACCTGGACAGAACAAACATGTCATTAATGCAGCAGGTTAATGGAGAGACTGGCTAACAACTCGCTCTCCTTCCACGCGGGAGTCCTGACTGTCCAGCCTGATTCAGGTTCTAGAGATACCTCACAGCCCTCCAGTGCTGTCTGCATGCCCTGAGCTGCAGCCGGCAGAAAAGACCTCCCATGTGGCCCAATTCTCTCAGGAACCAGCCGGGGACTACACCACAGTGCACACCTCCAGGGCTTCGGTCCCAGCTCCTAGAAAGCACGTTGGTTCTTGCCACTGAGACAAGTGACTTCCTCACGGTGGGGGGCGGGAGAACGGCAGTGGCTGGGGTGGGGAAAGGGAACAGGGCAGTTCTGATGGCTCAGCTGCAGCATGGATGGGGAAGTGTCAAGGCTGGTCTAAAGCTGCGTGGGAAGAAGGTGGGCGGCTGGACCCGGCCGGGAGGAAGGCTGGGAGAAGGGGCTGGCCCCTGTAGGGGTGCGGGCTGGGGGAGGCCAAGCGCTGGGGCGGGGTGCGGAGGTAGGGGCAGGAAGCAGATGCAGGAGGTGGCCTCCGCTCTCATACAGGGAGCATGTGTTTGCATGGGGAGGGGACCTCCAGAGCCTGCGGGGAAGGAGAGTGCTGTGGGTGCGGCCACTCCCGGAAGGGACCACAGCCAGGTGGCTTGGGCAGCGACGGGACGACCGGGGAGGCTGGGCCGGGGAGAGGGGAGGTGGCCCGCCACCGCAGGAGTAGGGAGAGAAAGAAGGGCTGACGAGGGCCCGGGGCTGAGGGGAAACCGAGCCAGGGGCTGTTGGAACCGGGAGTCCGGTCCGCGGCAGGGCCGGGGTGCGGAGAGGCGGGGGCGGAGGGCACCTGGGAGGCCGGTCAATGGCGGGTCCAGGCTCAGGGCTGAGGTGGGGCCGGTCAATGGCGGGTTCAGGGTCGCGGCCGAGGCGGGACGGGGCGCACGGGCGCTGCTCACCGGGCTCGGGGCCGGCGCGGAGTGGCGGCCGGGCTGGGCAAGGCGTCCCGGGGCCGGAGGGGCCTCACACTAGAGGCTCCATGCCCGGGACTGCGGCCCCGGAAGTGGCGGGCGCGGGGGACAGCAGCGGCGGCGGACACGGGAGAGCCGGCGGCTCCGGCCCCTTTGACCCGGAAGTTGAGCGGCCCAGGCGGCGGCCTACGATTGGCCACCGCCCGGGCGGTACCAAGGGGCCCGCGGCGCTTGGGGGGAACGCCGCCGGTTCGGCTCTGGCAGCCAGAGGCTTGGAATTTCCCTGGGGCGGCATCTTCCGGTGCAGGGAAGAACGCGGGAGAGAGACACCCCCATACAATTTGGTATCACCCAGCCAGACCCACAATACTCCTACTAATACTGTCTAAAGAAAACCAGTTCCGCCGGAGCGTTGGTGGTATAGTGGTGAGCATAGCTGCCTTCCAAGCAGTTGACCCGGGTTCGATTCCCGGCCAACGCAACCAGAGCTGTTTCTTTTGTACTTTCTTACCATAGCCTATTTAAATTTTCCTGCTAAGATCCCCCAACTGGAATTTTTTATTACCTTGAAATAACTTTTAAAACGACAGGCGAAATCTAAAAGCCACGGCACACAAATCAGTGTCGCATTTACTCCGGAGTAAGCTTTACAATGCTGCAGTGAGGGAAAAACGCAAGTCTGTTTCCGCCCGGGATCGAACCGGGGACCTTTCGCGTGTGAGGCGAACGTGATAACCGCTACACTACGGAAACGGGTAGAGGGCGCCACTCCGCGGGCCGCTATAGAGCACGCGGTTTCGGGGATTCCCGCCCTTCCGGAGCCCGCGGACCTCCGCTGGGGGCGGTGCGTGCTGGGGATCTCCGAGAAGCGGGGCACACACACGTCCTTATTACCCCACCGTCAACGCGGAGCTAGCTTGTCAGCATTTTAGATCAACTTTTTTTTTTTTTTTTTAAGAGCTAGGAGGACAGGAGGGTAGTGGCAAGAATTTAGGGTCACATTGCTGTAAAATCTGTCCCCTCCCCTCCACCCCAAAACCAGGATTAGAGTGAGGGGAGCGAGGCAGTGGCCTCAGCTTCAGACATTAAGGGGGTGGGCAAAAACCCGCAATAATCAAGGTAAATGATATTTTGAGGCACTATACCAAGAGAACCTATTAGTGGCAAAATAACTCCATAATGAACAATATATCAAAACGACAAATCGAGACAGGTTTTGGCAGTGCCTCGCCAAGTCGTAGTGGGGTCCGAGGCAAAAGCAAGAATGTGTGCCCCTCTATGCCTGTTTTAGTGTATTTTTGAAAGGCGATTTCTCCCCAGAGCATCTTCGAGAAAATATTGAAACTTAAAAGTAGGTGTGTTATGATTCAAAGCCTTAAGAACTTATCGTAATGTCACTTTTCTGCGTTTACTGGAAACAAACACCATCAATCACATTTTCAACATTTACTTCTGGGGAAAAATTAACCCCTGGAAATTGCGTAGAACCCCCGTTGAGAAGGCACACATTTTTCCTCATGCCTCAGAGCCCTATAGGGCTCAGCCCAGCACTGTCATGGCCACAAAGCATGAAGACCCTTCTGTATTCGTTTCCTACTGTCCCTCTGACAGAAGACCACAGGCAGTGGCTGCAAAAAAACCACAAGCTTACTACTATACACAGTTCTGGAGACAGGAGTCTAAACATGGGTCTGGAGTGGCTAAAACCCAGGTGTGGGCAGGGCTGGGTGCGGGAGGCTCCGGAGAGAATCGCTTAGCCTGCCTTTCCCAGCCTCTGGAGCCCTGATCACCCCAGCCTCTGGTTCTGTGGGTGCCTCTCCTTCTTTGATTTGGACATTCTTGCCTCTCTCTTGTATGTGACTACATGAAGCCCACCCAGATATGCAAAATAAGCTCCCCATCTTGAGATCCTTATTGCGTTTGCAAGGTCTCTTTTGCCGTGTGGGGGAGCATATTCACAGGTTCTGGGGGTTAGGATGTGGACTTTGGAGGAGGGCAGTATTCTTCTCTCCTTATTGGACATCATTCCCTAACATCCTTTTTTGACAGCAGTGTAGTATTTCATTCATTCATTCATTCATTCATTCATTGAACAATGATTTACTGACCACCTACTATGCGAAGGGGGCAGGGCAGCAGTCCCAGCCGTCCTGGGGGTGGTGATGAGTGGGCTAATTTCAGGGAAACTTAGAACCTCTTCCTGCTGCTCTGGCTACAGCTTCCAATCCACCTCTCCATACACCTCCTCCGCCTCCCCTTCCCTCCCTGGTGGCCCAGGCTGGGACCCCGGCACTCTTCCCTCCACACCTGTACCCCTCCCAGGCGGCCTCCTCCTCTTTCTGAGTTCAAACCCCATCTACGCCTGTGGACACCCACAGTCCTGACTCCACCCAGGCCTCCCCTGAGCTCTAGACTGTGGGTCCAACTGACCCTCAGTGTCTCCATGCAGGGTGTGGCGGGTGTCATGAGCATGCCAAACTTATCATGGTCCAAACTGAACTCCCTACCTTTCCAGAACCTGCTTGATATGGACTGAGCGTTTGTGTCCCCCTAAATCCATATGTTGAAACCTACCCCCCAAGGTGATGATATGGGGAGGTGGGGCCTTGGGGAGGGGTTTACGTCAGGAAGGTAGAGTCCCCATGAATGGGATGAGTGCCCTAATGAGAGAGGCCCCAGAGGGCTCCCTGCCCCTTCTGCTCTGTGAGCACGTGGGGAAAGGACAGTGGTCAGTGACCCAGGAAGAGGCCCTCGCCAGACACAGAACCTGCCAGCACCTTGGACTCCCAGCCTCCAGAACTGTGAGAAATAAATGTTTGCTGTTTATAAAAAACAGTCTGTGGCAGTTTGTAGTAGGAACCTAGCCAGACTAAGACATTGCTCCTTCCTCCATCCCCCCAACTGAGCTGAGGATGGCTCCTTCCTTCCAGATGCTCAGCAGAACCTGCGAGCTGCCCCGGGCTCCTTGCTCCCCCACCCACATCCAATCACTCAACAAGTCCAATTAGCTCTGCTTTCAAAGCACACCCAAAATCTGATCACTTCTTCCCCACTGGATGGCCATCTCCCTGGTCCACCCCATCACCATTCTGTGCCTGTCCCCTCTGCCCCGTGCCCTGGCTCATGCCCTCGCCCTCACAGTCCATCCTCCCCCACAGCGGCCACCAGAGGGCGCCTGTGAGCACCCGAGTGAGGTCGTGTCCTCCTCTGCCCACAGCCCTCTAGGACTCCCACCTTCCTGGGGTAAAAGCCGAAATCATCCCCGAGGCCCATTCAGCCCTGCACGAAGACCTCCGCGGGTCCTTTGCTGCCCTCACTTCTCTCTCCTTCACCCAGCCTGCTCCAGCCACACAGGCCTCTTCACTGTTCTCCAACTGCCAGGCAGAGCCCTGCCCCAGGACCTTTGCACGGGCTGTGCCCTTTGGCACAGGCATTTTCAGGGCTCATTACCTGTCCTCCTCCAATTCTTGATTTCAATGTTACCTTCTCAGAGGAAACTTCCCTGAGTTTCCCCCACCTTGGCACCCATAAATTCAGTATCTATCACTTCACCATGTTCTTTCAGTGGCTTATTCGTCTCTGAAACAATCCCATTTGTAGATTTGTTTGCTTGTCTCTCTTCTATCTCCTCCACTGGAGTAAGGACTCTACCAGTGCAGGGTTTGCTTGCTTGTTTGTTTGAATCTATTTTTTTTTAAAGATTATTTATTTATTTATTTATTTGAGAGAGAGAGAGGGAGCACATGAGAGTGGGGAGGGTCAGAGGGAGAAGCAGACTCCCCGCCGAGCAGGGAGCCCGATGCGGGACTCGATCCCGGG